GAAATAAATGAGAAATAACAACTGGACATCCTATTCACAACCATCTTATGATCAGAATCTGGATCTTGGTCCTCTTGATCTGAAATGGTTAATGAAAGAGTGAGCTACTATCCCAGTAAGAATGTCACACTACTCACCGATACAGAAATGAAGGTTGGTAAAAATTATGAAAACTATTAATTGAGTTCTTAATTTAAGTAAATTCATTTATCATAAGTAAAATCACTTATTGTACACTTACCGTAACTAAATTTTCAAAACTGACATATAGAGGCAAGAGCACAACAATATCATAATCTCATATTCAATTAACCGGAACAATAACTTTATTTTTTTATCTGCCTACTGGTATCCATGGGGGTCTATAGAGATGTCCCCACTACGCGTGAACCATTACTCAACATTGTTAACTAACCAGTCATCCTTATACCTCGTCCGATATGAGCGCTAAAAATACCATCCCTCAATACCCCCTCTGGTATGAGGTTAAAACGGGTCATCTTCATACCCCGTTCGTTATGAGCGCCAAAATACCAATTATTGATATCCCGTCCGGTATGAGACAATGTTCATGGTAGGGTTCCCTATGCACCGGGTCTGTCGACCATCACCAAGGATATCCATTAAACCTACCATTTATTATTTCACTTAATCAAAACAATTCTCCATTTATATTTAATTTTTAGTTTCACAATTTAACTGTAAATCACACAAACAAGCAATACATACATAAAAAAAAATATAACTGAATTATCTTACCAACTCCAACGTATTGTCATGCATTTAAAACTGTAAAATCAATCAATCAATTAAAACAAAATAAACAGTGATAAATAATCGGTTCCACCTCCATTAGTAACATGTGATTAATTATCGAAAATTTTTAAATTGTACAAAATATCACATTATTTATAATTAAACTTCAATTCCATAACAAGAAATAAGGTGATGAATTCTTACTCAAATCGATGTCTGAAACGCTAAGTTTTCAGCTGCACCTACTGGCGGTCACCAGATTTCCTGAATTTTTTTTTTATATTAAAATAAGATTCAAATACCTAGAAATACCCCCAAAAATCCAAAACTAATGTTAAAAACCTTTTCTGGCCAATTTTAAAATTTCGGCATGGCGACACCACCATGCTCCAGTGACAACACTGCCGTCCACGGCGGCAGTTTGCCTCGGATTGGTTGTTTTTCACCAGTTTCGTGAGAAAACACGTTAAATGGCATCGGTTTGTCGAAAAAAGTCAAAAAATAAACACTCACCGGCGGTAAAAATTTTCGGTGCAGCGGCTCCACTGGCTCACCTTCACGATTGGGCGTTTTTCTTCTATCAACTTGTAAAAAACATAATGGTAATTACAATGGTAAAAAAATTGCACAAAATGAGAATCGAGAAGGGGCTCATCGGATGCCGTTTTTTATTTTTTCTGCGGCGACGCTACCAAACTTCATCCGCAATTTTTGACTCATCCACCAGTCATTTTGCTTTAGTCATAGGGGTGTTTAAAATCAAATTTCGAGCGAATGAAAT